TTGTAAGCACTTTTGTTGTATTTTAAATGAAAAGGAGAAAAAAATGAAAGGAGATCTCTGTTGGTTTTCTTTGTTCATATAGTTATGGTTTTTAAGAATCTTTGCATTGCTTGCATACTAGTTTTGCTCCAGTACTGATGAAGGTGTTGATCCTGCCTGCATTCAGTAGCTTTTAATCTTCACAATTCTTATCAGTAGTGGAGGGTCCAGACAGCCACCATTGAATGAGGGATGATGAAAAGAGAAAAGATAGAAGTGATCTTTTTAAGATTTTACAAGTCAATATATTCTCACTGACAACAGGTCATAACAGAAGAAACTGATTCAGTCTATGATGAAATTACAGGTTTGATAAGAAAAATAATTGCACAAAATCAGTTTCTTCAAATCTTTTTGTAAGACTTCAGACTAGAGAATATTCTGATAAGGGATTCTTCACCATATTATATCAATAAAATCTTTTAGTGGGCTGGGTTCCAACTGATGTGGTTGGGGTCTGAGCAGGAGCATTGTCTCATCACTGCCAGGTCATGCAGTATGGATGCCTCATCATGCTTTGGTCCTTAAATCCTAAATGAGGATTTAAGAACTGGCAGATCACAGAAAGCAATGTTTTCTTTGAAGAATTTATGCAAAGCAGGGCATTGGTAGCAGCATTTGACAGGGACTGTCATCAAACCTGTCATGATTCAATACTCAATAGTGATTCAGAAGTATATAAAAAAAACTTTGCTGATGCAGCACAGCAATGATACAGATTAGTCAAATATAGCTAGTGACAAAAACAAGACAATCCTCAGAAAAATGCAATGAATATGATTTGGGGCTGGAGGAAAGAGGGAGGATGAATGGTTTAACCACTGAGAAGCTTAGGAGTTTCTCTGTTTAGGTAAAACAAGCTTCAGAGGTATGTTAATTACACTATCTAAGCACCTTCACAGGAAGAAAGTATGGAATACTGAAAGACTCTATTTCAGCAGAAGATGCAAACCAGTGGCTGGAAGCTGAAGCTAGGAAGAGTCAAAGTAGACATTAGATACAAATTTTAAAAGTGATTTGAAGACACTGTACTAGAAGTATGAGTGCATCTTGCCTCACCTGATGTCTTTAATCTGGATGTGAATGTTGGCTTTGTAAGACACACCTCAGCCAAAGCATGGTCTGTCTTCAGTACAAAGCCAAGAGTGATAACTATAGGAGGGAAGAAAGGATAGTTCAGATTTCAACATGGATTGCAGAAGGCTGGTAAGAAATCTGGGTATGTGCTTGAGTTTTGCAAGAAGTCCCTAGCAGTGCATCTGCAGTGCTGCAGATTAAACCTTATCTATGACTGCCTCACTGCAAACTTCCCTGCATTCTTCTGTGTAGACACGTGGAAGGAGGTAAGGATGAAAAAGAAAAGGAATATCTGAGTTGAGGAGTAACTTTAAAATAAAAGAAGGGAGCTCAAACTTGAAGCTTTGTGCAGGGAATGGGAGTATTTTATTGAAGTTGGAAGAAAGATGATTTTAATGGTATTACTTATAAGCACTATAGGGAGATATTATCAGAGACCAAGGAAAAGGCATTTGCAGTAGGCAAGGGAGAGAATGAGAGCTGTGGTGCTTAATCCAAGGGAAAGCAAATCTTTGAAATGTTGCAAAAAAGGAAATGGTAAAATCTCTACTTCTAAAAAACCAAGCAGCATAGCATGCAAGTGACAAACTCATTTTCCTTTCATTCAAAAAAAAAAAAAAAAAAAAAGCTACATTCTGATTCTGCTCCCACTTCCAAACTTAAAACACTATAAATGGCCCAGTCAGGAGTAACTGAGACTGAAGCTTCATTTTATCACCCTAGTTTTTATTCAGCATCATTGCAGACGTCATCTGTGGCATTTGAATTCTATAGAAGTGACCAGAGTTTGGTCTGATTTTACCTTTTGTTTGAATAATCATAACGATAGGAGGATTTTAAAAACAGGATCTGAATCCCTGTTGAGGTTTTTAATACCGCCTATTCTGAGGTCACTGGATTTAGGATTTCTGCTTGAGTCTATCTCATACATTTTTACAGATATTCAAAAGCCTGTAATAGCCCACACACAGGTTATATTAATTTCCAGTGCCTAAATCCCTTAAGTGCTTTGGGGATTTCCCTGCTAATCCTCTTTTTAATGCAGGGGTAGGTTTGAACCTTTGGGATTTATTCTTTGTGTTGGTTGTTTTCCAACCAAAGAATCTTTCAAGGGTAACAGCAGCAAGTGCTAAATGCGTAAAGACATAGAAAGTTTATCTGCTGTTTACATTAACACAGCAATCTGCCAGTCTTTTTCTGGCACAAGAAGGAAAAGAAAGTGTAACTATTATTAGTAATTACAGTACTTATAGTAATTTTAAACACTTACTAATATTAAATTTATGCAAAAGTATTAAATCCTGACTGAACATCAAATCCTTTCCTTTCCAAGGGCCAAGTAACTGTATTAATATTAATGAAGCCATAAAATACAAGTTAACTGACAGCATTTTTGCAGTTGCTTACTGCAACTGTATTTTGTTACTGAAAATTTATCATATTTTTCATGTCTGAAAGTAAAAAATGAAAAAAACTATCACCAACTGCTCTTTGTTGTAAGTGACATGCCTTTTCTTTATGATGCATGCTTTGCCATAAAAAGGGAGTGCTTAATGCATTTCTGTTGGGAGATGCCTATTTATTCTGACAAACTGATCAGCCTCCAGGGTGTTTCTTTGCCACAGAACTGATTCTACATCTCATCCATTATCTAATAGGATGTGAAAAGAGTATCCTGTCTCACAAAAAAAAATCAGGCTTTGTTTCATTACAAGGATGTGGCAGGCCCACTCACAGACTTACTTGCTGGATATACAATTGTTAGTGAAAGGCCCAGTTATACACTCATGAATGTTTCCAATAGGCCTGTGGGGAAAACATTGGTAACATTGGTACTGAGGATCATTTATTTCAAAGGCAAGGATAAAATATGGCCTCTATAATGAGAAAATATATTTCACGTCTTAAATAGTACTGCAGGAGCTTATGAATTTTATTATTGTAATAAACACCAGTGCCGTATAAACTAGCCAGCCAGAATGTCTCTGCAAAATATATGCCCTGGTTATTTTTCTTCTCTTTCTTCATTATTTCTCCCTTTACAATGTTTATGAAAGGTTTAAAATTGTGCTTGCATGGGAAAAGAGAGATTGGAGTAAGGAAAGCAAGCTGAGGCATTGTGTGATAAGGCAGTGATAAAGTGCATACAAAACACTATCAGAGAAATGTTGTCAGTCAGATGTGCTCATAAAGAAATAAAGTCACAAAGGAAAAAGAGAGTAGGATACACAGTAGGAAATGCAATTAAACCCAGGCATAAACTTAAATGTTAAGGAATAACAACTCTTTAAGACCTTAGATATCCAGATGGCAACTCTCTACCCGTTTGAGCAGAGCTAACACACCTGAAACTTTTGACCACTAATGCCCTGCAAATCGTTGTTGTATTTAAATGATGCTGTATTACAACAATGCAGCCTCCCATACAACACACCCCACAAAAAAGTGCCTCCATTGTGAAGCTGTTTGCTAACCACCACGAGTGAATTAACAAATCAGTGTTGGTTGAAGTAAAACAAAACATTTTAGATCATTGACAAAATAGAGGAAGAAGTGACACGAAAGCAAACAAGTGATTAGGTTTGATATCTCTAGAAGTTAGAACACTCACTCCACTCCACAGCTCCAAATTTCTCTGCCTTTCTAAATAACAGGATCAATCCTTTTGGACTTGCACTATGCTTCCTTTCATAAAGGGCAGTTTCTTTAGCATGACAATAAAATATGATTGTCAGTGCTTCTTGGAAAAGTGATTACAGCTTGAAATAGTTCAAAATGAAAATACAAAAGCTGGAATTACTGGCAGACAAACGTTCTAGTGTCATGTCCTCCTGATATCCTTTATTCATTATACGAGAATGCAGCTCTATATCTAAAAATCAAGGCTGTTTTATAAGTCTTGCTTATAATGCCAGTCAGAGTGGCTTACCACTGAGAGATCTTTCAGAGTCTGGAGTTGCATCAAGACAGCATAGCTTTAAAACAGCATAAGAGACACCCATTCTACATTATTGACTTTTCCCTTTACCTGCAAGGACACAGAATTTAATGCAGAGTTGATGGGTCAAAGATTTGACACATGTCAAGTCAGATATCTTCATTTTAGAGTTTAGAAAAGGCATCAAACCTGATACATATGAACCACTTTAGGTGGCAGAGGCAGTCAGACTGAGCTAGGGACAATTTTTTCACTTATCTGCAAAAGACATTACATTCAATGAAGCCTTATGTAAAGAAAAATGTTATTCAAGGAGAATAAAACCAGAACAACTGCTAAAAATGCAATAACGGTCTAGAGGTAGATCCCTAAACCCTGCATTAAATATCCTATCATTGTGTTCTTTCTGTGATTTTTTTAAACCATCCTATAAAGGTCTATGGGAAGGATATAATTTCCTAGAAAATGATATTTCATATAGCCTTTTATAAAGTGGTCATCCCCTAGGAAAGTCAGCAATAGTTTTCTATAGAGAAGGCATTTGATTCAGAACTATGAATAGACTATTTCCATTAGCAAACACTATAGAGCAGAACAGCTTTTTTCAGCTATCACCCTTCTTCTATAAATAGATTTCACAGGAGGAAAAGCATACCCATAAACTATCTAGTATGACTTTATGTCCCTAAATGGACCATGTCACAAAATCTCATTTTTTAATAATGGCATTTGCGTTACTCCACTGATGAAAAGTATAATAATAACAGCAAAATTGTTGTGTTAATGATCAGAGTGTATAATAAGATGTACAATTAGGAGGATTATGGGAATTTAATAGGAAGAGAAGGGCAAGGGATCATCTGTTGTATGACTCTTCATGATTGTAACCTGCTGTCTATGTCCCTAATGTGTTTTTATGACTGGCATGCTTTGCTTTGTTTCCCAGTCCGTGTTCTGCCGTGAATGTAAAGAAGAATTCCATGAAGGGGAATGCAACTCTCTCCTCAGCCCGCCAGGAGCCATGGCCCAGAAGGTATGGATCTCACAACTCCTGATCATTATTCCTGGCCCAGCCAGAGTGACATTTGTCAAATGGGTCCTAATTATAATCCTAAGTAAAAGCAATTATGTTCATGCTGAATTACTCCAGCCGTCGGAGTTGCCGAATTGGCTTTGCGGTGGATTTCAGTCTCTTTGATTGATAGAGTAGCCGAGTTCTGTCAGGAAAACACAGGGCTCTGCCATCAGTTGATAAAGAAAAGGCCTTCCCAGTGGGCTTCTAGGGTTGTCTCTATTCAATGTGAACACTTTTGAAAGGCTTTGTATAGTCTTTCTGCCTTTCAGTTTATTTTCAATGCACCAGTCAGGAAATCATGTGGGTTTGGGCCGAATAACAGGGCTTTTTTACAGCCTATGCAGCCTATTGGTAATTTATGTTTTAGCTTACAGAAATAAAAAAATAGATTGTCTAGGCTGCAAGCTGTTAGGTGATAATTATTCTAGGTTGCTCTACAATTTTGTAGCTATTGTAGCTATAGACCTAGAGAGGAAATAGTTTTTCTCTCCTGGCATTTGCCTTTGTTTGAGATTCAAGTTTTTCTTGAAATAAATAAATCACGTAAACCACAGTTTTTCCAAGAGAAAAAAGAGGGAGAGAGAGATTGAAAGAACAGAAAACATATCCCCTAAATATCTCACAGCTTGATGCCCAAGCTGCACCCCTAGGTAGCAGAAAACTGGTATTCAGATATCTGGCAGATTTGATGCTAAGAAGAAACTCAAACCCTGAGCCTTCGCACAGTCCAATGTGGCAGATAAAGGTTTGTGGGCAGGTGCTGATGAGGGCTTGCATCCAGCCAGCTCTCAGGGAGGTGTGCCAAGCTCCTGTGACTGCCTGCAGGCAGGCTCTGTCTGAGGCTGGCTTCTGGGGACTCACCGAACACAGACTGTGACAGGGAGCTGAAATTCTCTTCTGAGTCTTTGCCATGTGCTACCTGGAGATGGTTCATAAGCCATACTTTGCAAACCTTGACCTGTGTAGAGATTCTTCCCTTTAACCTTTCTTAGTGAAGCTCTTCTAATTTATAAAAAGAATTAGCATTAGTTGAGACAGAATGAAACAGCCTGTATCCTCCTAGTCAGTCAAGGTATCTACCTCTGTTGACCTGGAACATGTATATTTTATCAGACCCAAAATCCATCTACTTTCCCAGCCTCTAGTGATTTGTGATGTACATATGGTATTTTATGTTTAGTAGCTATTGGCATTTTTTTTTCTCCATGAGTTTGTGCAACCCATTTTTGAAGCCATATGTATATATAATAAGGAGATTTGCAGCTTAGCCGCCCTCCACGAAGAACAGTGTAATTTTATTTGCAATAGCCTTAGAGCAGTCTTCTGGTTCCCATTCACATTTATATAAAAAACAAAGCAACTTCAACAGACATTGAGAGATGCTTAAAGCATTCAACAGCCTAGCAAGGCAGGAGACCAAGGCTCAGTGTCTTACCTGAATTAAACTGAACTATAACGTGAGTACATCTCAACATGAACAGAGAGCTCTATATATTCTGTATAAGTATATAGTTACTTATGCTTGGAGTTTTGCCTCAAGTACTGAAAGTGTCATGGAATGTAAAAAGTGAATTCAACAATGTTGGCTCTGTGGAAGCTAGAGTTCATGTAATTTTTATCTTCTAAGGCAGAAGTAAATGTATACCAGTAAGAATCAGAATACCATAGGAAGAAATAATTTATTTTAAATATTTGAATATTGCCATTGCTTTTCCTTATAACAATGGGAGCACTTCACCCATCTGATTCGATCTCACAGCACATGAATTGCACCCAATCAGACCTGTTAACTTAGCAATGTTGACTACTGTTGCAGTTCTAGTGTCATGTGAATGTTCTTGCTGTTCCTGAAAAATGGCCTGCACTCTCAAGGAACTGTTCCAGAATAGCTAAATGATGGTACCAGAATAACTCTTGCACCTATACAAATCAGGTCCCCTGCACAGACAAGACCACAGACGAAGCAGGATTCATTGAGACTCCAGTCTAAGCTGAAGTTAACTGATTTAGGTCCGCCTCCTCTTCCTCTATGAAACTGAGAGCGGCACTAATGAAACATCTCCACGAGGCGGTGCTGTGCCACTGAAGGAATGTTTTCCCTCATTTTCATCAGCCAGGCGAGCAAACCCAGCGGCAGCAGAAGCAGGGCGAGCGCAGGGGCTGCTGAGATGCTGCTTTCACCGCCCAGCATCCCCGCAGAGCCGCCCTGCGCTCAGGGCTCCGAAGCGGGCACACAGACCATTCCGGGGCATGAATGGAGAACAGGACCTGTGGGATAGTTTCCATCTCTCTCCCTGAAATCGGTGTAAACATTTATCCACCTGTGCTTTCAGGCTGTCTGTTCCACTTGGCATCACCTGCCAGATACATAGGTCTGTGTGTCAGACCTAACTTGCTGTGATTGTAGTGCTTGGGGAGGCTGTGAGAAGGTTTGTTTTATTTTTGTCCATGGTCTGTTTCAAGGTAGGAATAATACACTTCCATGTCTCCTGTTCATGCAGTTTGACTCCTGTCTGGATCCTTTCCATATCATTTATTTTATCAAGACATCTTATTGCCACAACTTCTGCCAATCGAATTTAAGGAAGGATCAAACAAACACACTGCCACTAAACTGTTCCTCTCCAGAAGAGATGCAGGATACACAATCATTTTCAGGGAATTACTTCCAATAAGAAAAATGCAGGGTTTGCTTTATCCTCTAGTAGCTGTAGTAGTGAAAGGACCTTCTCTTGCCTTCACATTTCTGCAAATGCCTGCAGGTCTCTGATGTTCAACAATATGAAACACTGTGGACGGGTTCAGACCTCAGTCAGCGTAACAGAGGTGAACATGGTGGAGCGTGAGGAGTGTGACAGAGGTGAAAGAAAAACCAAGAAGGAGAGTTGTTGCAGAGGAATTGGGTGACCAGTAGTGGATGGCAGCATGGAGAGCAGGAAGAGCTGTGGTGGCACTCCATGCAGCGCTCCTAAGGTGTGTCAGGGCACTGCAGGGGCTGTCTGCTTCCTGGGGACTTCCCATGTGTCAGGGCAGGGTATGAGGACAGGGATGAGCCAAAATGGTGGAAGGTGGATCCACAGGTGGCCTTTGACTGGGCTGGGCAGGGATGTGGGGAGCTGGAGATAGGCCCTGCTGCAGTGCACCAGGCAGTGGCATGGGTTCCTGGGCTGTGAACAGGATGCAGGGATTAGCAGGGCATTGGGACAGCAAGGTCTGATGGTACCCTCAGAGCCTGACACCAGTTTGAGAAGACTTGGAGAAAGAGATCTCTCAGAAGCAGAGATAGAGCCTGATGTAGAGGAATTTGAGTGTCCATGAAAGCCAAGAGCTGACTGGAGGGACTGTAACCTGTCAGATGGAGCGGAAGCTCCAGAAAGAGGAAAAGAAAGAGAGATGTGAAATGACATGGCACAGCTATGAGGGTCCAGGAAACATAAATGGTGGTGGTGAGATGGGCCTGTGCTTGGGCAGATGTCCAAAGGAGGGAGGAGGAAGCCTGAGGTACAGAGAGGGGAGTGTAGCTGGTGGGTCTGTGAAGGAGGGCAGAGAAGGATGGAAGGGGCAATGGGGTGAGTTGGCAGGAGGAAGGAAGAGGACAACCATGATTGCAGGACATAGGAGGGATAAAGCAGGTGCCACCCGTGCATGTCTGAAAGCCTATTCCAAATGAAGGATTTGGAAGCTTTAGGGAAGCTAAATGGCATTACTGGCTGCTTGGGGTAAAAGGCAAACTTGGCAGCAAGCGTGCAGAGAGCAGCCCAGCTTTAACTACTGGCGTATCCTGACCTTTCAGATCTGTGCACAGATATTGCTTGGTCCATTGGGAAGGATAAAATGTTCTCTTTCTGCTGAAAAGTCTACTTTTAGCCCAGATAGGCCATTGGAAGCTTATCTTAAACATTTACCTACTGGTGCAGGACTGATTATTTCCCATCTTAGTGTGTAAATTACATTATTTCAGGGAAAATAAAATTTATCTGTGGCAATATAAGTTGGGAAGCTTTGTTTTAAAACCATTGCAGCTTCCTGGAGCTGTTTGAACTTTGGGATGACAGAAGAAATCATATTTGATGAATTGAAAGGCACAGTGTGCATGATGGAATCAATGACATGGTAAAGGTGACTCCAGCCAGATTTAGGTTTAGAAATAACCACATAGTCCCTGCAATGTACACCACAAAACCAAGCTTCCTGGCCTCTTTTAACCTCACACATAGACAGTCTGGGCTGGTGGGGAATCTAGCCATAAACCAGCTTCCTCTGTAAGTCCCCACCTTAAAATTAGCCTAGCTTTCCTAGCACAAAACCTTTCTAGATGGTTTTCCTGTTACAAGGATAAGCAATGCACCTTCTTGCTTGCTAGCACTGGACAATAAAATGTGGCCACATATTAGATTTGAACTTTTTCAGAGTAGCTCCCAGGATGGTTTCAGTGCTGGGCATGTTGATGAGGAAGCTGGTTTATGGCAAGGTAAACTGTAATAGCAATGGCACTGATGTAGAAATGGTGCCCAGGTAAATAAGTGAGCAGAATATGGGGCACTGAGTCATAAGTATTTGGGGGGGGAAAAGGTAACACAACCTGGATGAAAATGTGTTATTTAAAAGTATGTTTTAGCATTGGTTCTGTGGAAAACTTTCTCCAAGAAGCTGCTGATTATCTTGTCCTACCAAACTCCTTAAAAATCCTGTCAGAACATACCTAGTCTTACTCCAAGCCTTAATTCCAGCTAGTCAGAGAAGGAGTCAGTTCTAGCAAGTCTGGCCCTGCAATCCATGCAATCCATTAAAATCCTTCTCTAAGTATTCATCTTCAGCTGCTGATGCAGCTAAAAATTCTTACCCATTTTTCACATACAGGTTAGAGACTAAGTGGTGTAAATTTCTGCCATTTTGTTACATTGAAAATCTCATTACCTGCTAAAGGTGTTCATTTCAGACCATGTTCACTGTATATG